AACTAACTAATTGACTAACTGACTAACTTTACGTAAGGGAAATATTATTTAAATTAATTCAACCGAAAAAAAAAAAAAAAATTCGTTAAGGTTTTATATTTTATTTTTAAAAAGAAAGAAAAACTTTCGTTTAAAAGATATTTATTTGTTATCAAATATTTTCACTGATAGATAAAAAATTATGTTTCGTTTACCCCCCTCCCCCCAAAAAAAAGAAGAGGGAGGGAAGGGAGGGAATTAAAAAAAAAAAAAAAAAAAAAAAAAAATTTCCAGCTCGTTGTTATAATAATTACTATTCTCATCTTCCTCCATTTTTATTATCCATTGATTAAAATTTTTTATTTTTTATTTTTATTTTCCTCCCTCGAAACATTCAATCAATCATTCATTCATTCATTCATTCGTTCCCCCTTTTTGTGGGAAATTTGTTTTTAAGTTCGGTTCGATAATAACAACAACAACAACAACAACAACCCTCTTTAACAAACGAATTCGAGCAGCAGGGAAAATTTTTTTTTTTTTAAAAAGGGTTAAAATATATTTAATAATAATAATTATTATTATTTTATTAATTAATTAATATTTTTACATAAATACAAGCAAAATAATAATAATAATAATTTACGTATAGGTTTCGTTATTACGTAACCGAACGTGACGAATGTTTGGGTTTGAAAAAAATTCAAAACATATTCTATTTAATTTTTTTTTTTTTTTTTTTCCCACGGTTGACATTTTGTGACCTAAAAAAAAAAAAAACCCAAACGATTTAAAAACTGAATTTTGTTATTATTATCATTATTATTAACGAATATGTTTATTTTTTTTTAAAGTTTTAATTATTATTTTCTCCGGGGGAAAGGAGGTGAGGGGGCGGGGACGGTGGGAAATTTTTAAAGGAGGGAAAATAACAGAAAAAAAAAGAAAATCGAAACAATATTTATTATTATTATTATTATTATTATTATTAATATTATTATTATTAACGGATATGTTTTTTTTCTTTAAAGATTTTATTATTATTTTTCCCGCAGGAGGAGGCAAAGGGGGTGAGGGCGGTGGGAAATTTTAAAAGGGGGGAAAATAACATAAAAAAAGAAAGAAAACTTTTCACTACAATATTTTTATTATTATTTTCAAATATTTGAAAAAATGAAAGTTTAAATTTCTTACGGTAAATTATCGATTATTGTTAATAATAAATACATAAATAAAAAAATGGGGGGAGAGCGGGGAGATATGGGGAAAGGGGCAAACCACCACCGTTTATTTAAACCGCCCGAATGCAAAAAAAAAAATCGATGAGGAAAACAATGTTCAGTCGAGAAGGGATTTTTCTCACGTTTTTTTTTTTTTTATAAACGTATTAAAATTTCATATAATAATAATAATAATAATAATGATGATGATGATGATGATGATGATGATGATGATGATGATGATGATGATGATAATACTAATACTAATAATAATAATAATAATAATTGGATTTTTAAAATAAACTTTTACGATTTTTATTGTTTCGAATGGGATACGTTAGAAAAAAAAAACTTTCACTCATTCGTTCATTCATTCATTCATTCATTCATTCATTCGTTGGGAGGATTGATTATTAACGTAAACAAATAGAATTTTATTAAACTTTATTATTAATTTTTATTATTATTATTATTAACTCGAAATCATTTTCTTTAGTTTATTTTTAGAAAAAAAATTATTATTATTATTTTTTCGGTAGAAATGAATTATGGGTAGAAGTTAACTAATTTTGCTTGAAGGAATCGTTCAGGTTTTGGTTGTTGTTGTTGTTGTTGTTACTCCTATTTTTTTAATACCAGTAAAAAAAATTTGTTGCAATTTTTAGTTTTTTTTTTTTGTGAATGAATTTAATTAAATTTTCATTGATTCGTTTCGTAAATAAAAAAACCTAAACATAAAGGATGAGGCAACCGTGTTTGTTGTTGTTGTATGGCCCTAGTTAATTTTTATTGTCACGCCCTTTCGAACAAAATTACTTTTGTTGTTGTTGTTGTTGTTGTCGTCATCGTTGTTGTCATCGTTTATAAAATCTTTCGGAAAAAAAAATTTAAAAATTTATTTGACTATTTAGATTGGAGGAAAAATTTTTTTACAAAGGGGCCCTTAAAAAAAAAAAATACGAAAAAAGGGAGGTTCGAATAAATTACGTAAGTTTAATAATAATTAAAGGAGGGGGAAGGGAGAAGGGGAAGGGGAGAGCGGGGGAAATTAAAAGGAATATTCGAGAAAATGTTCGATTAATACCAATCGTGTAAAAACGATTTGTTTGTTTGACGAAAGAAAAAATGGGGGGATTTATCGAAATTCAAATTAATTATCGTTTTTTTTTAAATTTCTTCACGGTTTCCGGTTTTTTTCTTTATTTCTTCCTCTCCCTCTTCCCCTCTTCCCCTCCAAAAACCTGGATCAACTTGATTATAGTTCTAAAGACACGATATTTTCAAAAAAATTACGATTTTTTTTTTTTTAAATTTAAAAAAAAGTAAAAAGTAAAAAAAAAAGAAAAATTTATGCGCACACTTGTAAAATTTTTTTTTTTTTTTCAAAAGTTGGCACAAATCATTTTTTTTTTTTTTTTTTTTATATTCGTTCACGTGACATTTAATTTTCCCCCCATTTTTTTTGTTCTCTTTTAATAATAACGGGAAGGATGCAAATGAAAGAAAGAGAGAGAGTGAAAAATGCATCATCTTAACGTTAAATTTTTTTTTTTTTTACCAAAGGTTGGCAACACGTACCTGGGATAAAAAAAAAAAAATTAGTAAATAGAAACAAATCAATATTTAGGAAAAAAAAATAAAACAAAACATTGTCCCGTTTCTTATTTATTATAATGTTATCATCCCACAAAATGAAGTTGAGTCAATAATAATAATACTAATAATAATAATAATAATAATGGAAATGAAAGGGGTATTGTTTTTTACCTTTCGTTATTTACTAAAAACAAAAATAGGGAAAATGTTTGTAGTTGTTTATTTGTTATAAACCGAAATTAAAACAAACAACTACAAACATAATTTTTTCGGTTTCGTTTTCTAGAGATTTCTAGTACGCGTACGAAATTTTTCTTATTTATATAAATAAATAATAAAAAAACGTTATCAGTTATTAATTGAATAAAATAATAATAATAATAATAATAGTTACGATGATGATAATGATGATAAAAAAAAAAAAAAAAATTTAAATTGTAGAAAGTTAAAAAAAATTTGAAGGGAAACGTCTGTTATACTACGTCTACTACTACGTGACTTGAATTATTTCATATAATTTCGAGAATTTTCTATTTCTATTCTTTTAACCGAAACTTTTGTTATTAATAATAATAATGATAATAATGATAATATTCGTACGAAAATTTTTATTTAAAAAAAAAAAAAAAATTAAAATCTGTAGAGAAAAAGCTAAACGATGAACAAAACAAAACAAAAAAATTTTTTTTATAAATGATCGAACAAGTGAACACCCACATTAAATATTAACGTTGGAAACTTAGCAACATCGCATTCCGATTGCCTACCTGTACCTGCAGGCTGTGGAATCAGGCTGCTCCATCATTAATGCCAGGTTTCCTACACCAACTACTATTTGTAGGACAACCTTCAAATCGTAATTTTTTTTTCTTCTTCTTCTTTCAACTTTGTTTTGATTTGTTTTTTTCAATTTTTTTTCTTTTCCGATCCTTTTTCCGATTTGTTTTCCCGACTATTTTCCCACCACCACCACCACCATCCTTCCCCACCCTCTCGGACAAATTTATTTAAGTTAAAATACCTGTATGAAAAAAATATTAAAAAAATTAAATCAGTCGTCGTTTTCGATACGTTTGTTTTTGTTTTTCAAGAGCAGACGAAATTTATTGATGAAAACTATAACGTAATGAAAACAATAATAATAATAATAATAATAATAATAATAATAATGATAATGATAATGATAATAATAATAATAATAATAATAATAATAATAATAATAATAATAATAATGATAATAATAATAGAATTTCCGTTGGAATTTGTATTGATTTCTCGTTTGCGGTCTGAAAGGAAAACTTTCTTTTTTTTACGCCAAATGATTGCACACAATTATTTAATTATTATTATCATCATCATCATCATTATTATTATTATTATTTTACATGCATTTATTTATATATATATATATATATATATATATATATATATATATATATATATATATATATATATATATATATATATATATATATATATATATAAATCGGTCGGAGAATTCGTCAAAAAAAATTTTTTTTTATGTGAAATTTTTTACATAAATTATTTTATACTCCGCGTGTGTGAAATTTACATTTTTCGTATTATCATTATCATCATCATCATTATCATTATTTTTTAATATTATTATACGAAACGATTAATTTACGCATAATAATAATGATAATAAAATTCATTTTAACGTTAATTATAAAGGGTGGGGAAGGGGAGAGGGAAAGGAAAGAAAAAACTTGAATAATATTTCGAGTAAAAAAAAGCTTTTTTTTATATTTAACGAAACGTACTTGAATTTAAAAGGTCAAAGGTCGTTATAATATTTATATTTACTTATACGTATATATATTAAAATTTTGTTTGAAATGTAAAACAGAAATGTCTTTTTAACCGCCCCCTTCCTCACTACCCCCCGAGGAAACGTTGCCGTCGATCCGAATGAATGTTTTTTTTTTTATTTAAAAAAATATATAAAGCAGTATTATTATTATTATTATTATTATTATTGTTATTATTAATATTATTATTATTATTAACGTTTGTATTTGTAAAAACGTCGAATCGTTTTAACAAATCCCCCCCCCTCCGCCATTAAAGTCATCCATCGTCAAGTCCATTGCAAAAAAAAAAAAAGAAAATTTGAAATCTCGTTTGTTTGTTTGTTTGTTTGTTGTTTGTTTTTACATTTCACGTAACCGGAATAAAAGAAACGTTTGACATTTAAAATTATTCAAGTTGTTGTTACATTTATATAAAAAATAATTAATAAATATTATTTATTTATTTTTTTGTGTCACCATCATCATCGTCATCATCACCATCATCATCATCATCATCATCATTTAAAAAAATAGAAAACAAGAGATGTGTGTTAATAATAATAATAAATAAGTTATTTTATTACCACCAGTTTTGTTTTCTATTTGTACGTTTTTTCTCTCTCTCTTATTCTTCTTCCACGATTTGAAATTATCCACAAATACTCGTAAAAAAAATGTTGAAAAACGTGAAAAAATTTTTTTTTTTAAAATCAGTCACGGGTGTTGTAGGTCGTCGTGACGTCATCATTTTTATTTTCTTTTCTTTTTCCTAAAAAAAAGAAAAACTATGTTACGATTAACTGTGGAAAAATTAGTTTTTCTCGTAAAAATTTTCTTGTTTTTCTTGTTTTGCGTTATTAAATAATAATAATAATAATAATAAGAAAATAATCGATCGATCGATTGTTTTGCGTTTGTTTCGAGTAGGACGAATGTAAAAGAAAAAAGAAAAGATTTATTATTATTATTATTATTTTTAAAAATAATTTTTCTTTTTTCTTAATGTAAGAGTGAGAGAGAGAGAAAGAGAAAGAGAAAGAGAGAGAGAGAGATTATATTGTATTGTATGTGTGAGGCTGGGTGGAATTTTTAGAATTTTAAAGACATAGTCATTTTGAAGAATGTTTTTTTTGTAAAAGTAAGAAGAAATGTTTTACCCATCAAAAACCACATTCGAAGAATCTTTTTCTTATGGAATCCTTTGCACCGGTTAGCCTTGATTTAAAAAAAAAAAAAAAAAACTCCATATTAACATTCGAACACCGTTTGATGATTGCGTTTTTTTTTTTTTTTTTTACCGGGGGTCCTCCATACCTACGGATTTCGTTTTTCTTTTTTTTCTTCTCCGTGAAATTTTCTTTTTTTCTTTCTTTCAACATTCGAGATTTTCGCAAATTTTTAAAAAGGGCCGCCTTGTGTTACTCATACGAATTTTCATTTACTTATTTTTTTTTTCGTTTGTACGTCGTAATCGTACAGTAAACGTTCTAGAAACATCTATATTTTGAATCAGACGTTCATATTATCATTAATAATAAATCGAACCGTTATTATTATTATTATTATTACTGTTTTTACTAAAATCAATTGACTACATACCCATTTAGTAAAAACTTTTTGATAATAATTTTTTTTTTTTTTTTGTTTGTTTTGTTTGTTTGTTTGTTTTCGTATAAAATTATTAAAAATTTGTCGTTTGTTGTAACGTTTGTAGACGTTTTTTCGGTAAAAGATCATATTAATATTGTTTTTTTTAAATTTTTTTTTATTATAAAAACCCCTACAAAAAATGACATCGTAAAATGTACGTTAACTCACGTATGACAAAATGCATACACGCTATTTTTCAGGGGCTCTCATTTTTTTGCGGAGTATAATAACAATGGCGATAGTATAATAATAATTATTATTATTATGAGAAAAAAAAAAAAAAAACAATTTGAAGTTTCGCGCTTTTTTTTTTTTTTACCACGATTATATTATTAAATACATTTACGGTAATTAATTAGGCTGGAAAAAAATCAAAATCGTTCCGGATCGAAAAAAAAAGAAAAAAAAAATGTCGACGAAATTAGTTCGTTTGTTAATTTTTTTAAATTTGTTTGTTTTTTATTCGCAGCTTTAGATTTAGCAGCAAACAGCAACGTTCAAGATGCGTTTGTTATTGCGGTGGAACAACAGGCAAGGGAAAGACTCGAAAGACTTTCTGCTCTCAAAAGAATCAAGCCGGTCGACATGACCAAACTTTCAAAGCAGGTTAGTTATATTATTATTATCATCATTATAATTCTTAACCTCGCGGTTTCCCCCTTGACTCCCTCTCCTTCCCCCTCCTCCGGGGAAATTTTTAGTTCCTCTCTCTCTCTCGAACACTCATCTCTTACTACGTCACACATGTTTTTACAACGGTTATTATTATTATTATTTTTTTTTAGTTTTAAACTTTGTGATTCTTTTTTTTTTTTTTTCTCAATTTTAAAAGCAAAATTATGTTTTTACTAATGACGATAATAATAATAATAACAACAACAACGATAATAATAATAATAATAATAATAATAATAATAATACCCACGATTGTTTTTTATTTAAAAAAAAAAAACATAAACAATTTTTAATTTCACGAAAAAAGGTTGACAGCGGCGGTAGTAGGTACGTGGAGGAGGAAGAGTAGAAGGGAGAGGGGTAGGAGGAGATGGAGGGGAGTGGGGAGGATATTATTAAGTGGGTGATGATGAATGAACCGTTTTACTAGGAAGTTGTAACCTAATCGAAATATTATATATATATATACGAATGACCGAGAAATTCGATATCCTTTGTAAAAAACCTAATAATTTTTTTTGTTAAAATAAGAATTTTTACATTACGTTTCGAATGTTTCCCTCCCT